GGAAAAAAACGCTTTGGCAGTCATCTTAGATTCAAGTGCTTTTGATATATTATCTCCCTCTTTCTCATACAAAAATTAACTTTCAATGTAGTTTTTCAATTAAAAACGTTCTAATGTGCAAAGACACCTATAAGTAAGCAATTTCTTTTTGAGCGGCCCAGCAAACAACACTGATTCCATTGGTGTAGTTTAGAGCAGGAAATAACAATCCAACCAATTGCAGACTATTTAGTATAACCCATTGGAAAGAAGGTACAGGTGTTTTTTTATTTGTTTGCAATTTAATTTGGTGGCTCTAGACGCAGAGAAATAATACGTCAGCTGTAAAGTCGACAGGAAATCAATATCAACTATTTATTGTAATAAAATCGGAATGAAATGGAAGTTGCGGTCATCTTTTCTTGCCTATTGTGATGTTTATCCCATGTAAAACAGCTTGTCGAACTAGAGAAAAAACATGCTAATGTTTTTGATTAAAGATTGCGAGCACACATTAATTTAAAAAAAAATCATTGACATTATAATAAACATATTTTACAGTAACTTTAATATGTTCTGTTCTAACTGTAAACTATTTATTAGTGAGCCTAAGTCATCCAAAAAAAAATATTCATGTAAAAATAATGTAACAACTTCAGCTCCAAAAAGACTTTCCTTTTTTGCTAAAATCACCCAATCCTCTTATTATTCAACAATGTGTCAATAATAAACCACTTTTCACAATCCAATCAATTCCCAGTAGATAAAATCAAGTCCTTTCCCAACTGCTTTTGCGAACATAGTTTCATGTTGACTTTAAAGCTTCCCTTATCTCTGAAATGGCCTGTAATACACAGCATTTAGAGTCCAGACACTTGAAGAACAAAGCTCTTCTACAGTCATACCTCAAAGTAAGTAGATGTCATTCTGTGAGGCGACAGACATTAGCCATTTAAATTGAGCTGCATCTATAAAAAATACTAAGACAATGTAAACTCTGCCCACTTAAAACCATCACATATACTTGTTTAACATACAAGGGTACCGTGGTCAGAGGAAGCCGCAGGAACTACATGAAGTTACACATCACTTCAAAAGACAATGAAAAAAACGTAACAGTGACCACTTTAAAGGGTGGGAGAACACAAGACAGTTTCTCTGCGATTGTTCAAGGGCACTTTATAAATATGACCGTTAACACTTTCCAGTCATGTGTTATTTTAACTAAGCCCAAGCTGAGAAACCACAGACCGGAAGTCATGCACGCTGAAGTATTCTCATACAAGAACAAAATTGCTTTCTCTCACCTGCGTGGCCTTTGCCTCAACTGGAGACCGTTTCTGACCGCCTAATGTCTCACGTACCAAACTGTTTGCAGAGGCAGCTTAACGCTTAAAATACAAATAAGAGGGTCTTCCCACAGGTAAAGTACCAATAATCCTCGGTTCAATGCAGGTGGTGTGTGAACTAACTGCAGAGCTGCTCTTCTCAAGAAAAACACTAGTTCACAAAGTAACAAGGCCACAGACACTCCTATAGCATTAGAAGACCTGAATAGCTTAAGAGACAGATCCCACTGCATGCAGAAAGCTTTCACAAGACAACTTTCCCACTTTGCATGAAGTGCTGGGTGGCATAAGAGACAATTTAAACATACAAGGCGAGCACCTTTTACCCACAATCTTAAAAGGTTCAGTGATTGTTAGAAGACAGTGTTGTAATGGAGACCCGGTCCATTACGGTCCAAGACCGGAGTAGGTTAAGTCAGAGTGTCTTTTGACTCAGTCAAAATGAAGACCATAAAAATATGAAAGGACAGACTCAAGACCTTCAACACTGTTAACAGCATCTTCAGGTTAGCAAAGAACCTCCTCCTTCTCACATACAATTTATGCTGAATTTGGGTTGTTGAGTCGCTATATGGATATTTCGGAGAATTAAACATTTCTTAATTTTGACAGTTGAATTTTAGTTATTCTAGGTCTCATTAAATAACAGGAGAAATTAAGCACTCATAGTTCTTTGTAGCACTATTCTGCACTATTGCTTTAACGCTAATCAAGTAAGTCAATTTGTGACATTGATCATGCGACTCTTTGTACAGAAAATCAGATCTTCTTGCTTCCATCAAAGCACAAGGAGCTCTTTGGATCATCTGAAATCATGGAGAACATGATGGGTTTTACATAAACTTGTGGAGTTCATGCACCTCAAGTATTGCTAACATTAAAGCAAAAAGAGACAAACCAAACACATTCTGAAATTTATTTGAACGCAATTCAACTTTTAACTCATATTATTATGCAAATGTTATGACATTTTGTGTTAAAGAATGCAAAAGAAACGCTCAGACTCAGATTTTGGACCCTATTGTAGATGGTTTTCTAAAGACCCATGTAAAACCCTTTATGGAACATTTATTTCTAAGAGTGCAGTCTCTCCATGTCAACAGTACTGGTTGGGCCTCGACCACTTAACGTGCATGGAAATGTGACCCTGCAACCTTTGAAGAAAGCCCCTCTCTCTCAAGTATGGCACATGTATTGGTAAATACTTGCATGACAATGGGTCCTCCGCCCGGGGTCTTGAAGGCATTCTATATTAATAGAAGCGCTGTGTATTATTCATAGGCAGAATTACTTTGGTGGCATGGTCCCAGGCCAAAGGGAGCTCCATGCACTCCTGCTCTCAGCCCTGACATGAGGAATACTAACAATACCGGACATGTGCAGGGCTGCCCGAGTTTACCACTGCCCACACTATCCCCCATTATAATAATCTATTCAAGGATTAAAGGGGTTTTATCTTGAAGCCCATGAATAATGAATGTGGAATTTCAAAATTTAATTGCCCCGAATTAAATGATTCAAGATAATGTTTCTTTTATAAATTTGTAATGGGGCTTGGGGGGCAAAGAATGAAAAAATACATTAAATAAAACCTTTCTTTCCCCTCCAAATGAAACAAAGAATGAAAGGACAATGGACGAGTGCCCTTATGTCTCCTAATGGGAACTTTCTTTTAAAAAAGATAAAAAGAAAGATAGACAGGTCAAGGATTTTAAGAAAAGCACTCTACCTTATTTGATTCAGGTGAAAAATGCACAGAACTTTAATCTTGGACTTGTCATTGTAGACAGACTCTAACCTATACAGTTGTACTGATGTACTGGCAATCCACTGTGCATTTTCTTTATGGCTAGATCACATTAAAGATTTGAGAATAAGTGTATTAAAGCGGTTAGCTTTCCAAAGCTATAAATCTATATACAGAAGCAGCAAGAACAAGTGACAGGCTTCCATACACTCAAACATCTGTCAACATAACAAACCATTCTGAACAGTATATTGAACAGTGCTTTTTTGTTGGGCAGAACACTTGAATTGAAATGTGATTTCTATTTCTATATATGTACACAGCTTCAAAAAGATAACAAAACATTGGGGGTATATTTTGATAATTTGTCATCACCTAATACAAGTCACTATTGCCGTATATATGTTATATATATGTTATTTATTTTTAATTATTTTATTAAGAATTATTATGCATCTCCTTGACAGTTCCTATTGATCAAAACCTGAAAAGCTTTTTAGGATTTAAAAAAAAAAAATCAATTTTTAAAGTCTTCCAAAGCCATGTGATAACTTTGTGTGAGAAAAAGATGCAAGATTATCAGTAAATAATTGCTAAGCTTTAGGTAAAGAACAGACCAAACTGCATCATATGGCTTCAAAAGACGTAGAATACAGTGCAAAATAAATAAAAAATAATACACAGATCTGAAACAACATTAGGGTGAGTGAATAATGGTAGAATTCTCATTTTGGGTGAAATACTCCTTTAATTAATAGCCCCCAGTGTTTTGTTGACAAGGTCTTCATTCTGGATCAATATTTCTGCATCTGAAATCCAACTAAATGACGTTCGTTAAGGCTTAAAGATGACCACAACAGTTTCATGACAAATGCTAGAGATCATTTTGGTGTTGCAGTGAATACTTGCATAAAAATAAGGAAAATAAAAACAGATTTCCTAAAGATCACGCATGAGAGAATTAGTCCTCAGAGATCATAGTCTTGATGTCCATTAACCGCAAAGTGTTTCATAAGCAAAAAATAATTAAAACAAATATATATAACATAATGAAGAGTGAAGGGCTTTAACACACAAACTTTGAATAACATTCACAGCAAAGAGTAACCACATTGTCACCAACAACCTCTTATTCTCTGGTTCAGGTTACAACATCCAAAACCGAAACTAATGCTCACTTTGAGAACACACCGACCATTTTCTGAAGTGCATGAAAATATGTACTTTTTTGGGACCAAAGTCTTTCAGTAACCTTACTTTTTATGCGAGTAAAGTAACTAGCATGCAGCGAGGCAGTGTTGATCTCTTTACAGATCAATGTCAGAACATAAGAGTAATGATTGTCAAGCAGCACTAAACATCAAGCATGTTTCTGGCATGACCTACAGCAAAGGCTGGTTAGAGAGAAGTAAAATTCCCTAAGCCAGTATTAGATGACTAAACAGAAACATCCTTGGCAACGTTACCATGTTAAAGTCTTCGATATATATATTTTTCGTTCATTTTGTGAAGTCTGAGCAAGCCTTCATCTAGACAGGAGTCCATGTGATCTCACCTTTACCAGGAACCTTTCTGGCAGCACTAGCGAAGCTACTACAAAAGAAACCAAACGTGGCACTGATAAAAACTCCAACAAAACAAAATAAAACAACAGGCTTCTTATCGCTTGAGCTAGCTCATACTTAAGCTGCATTTAATAAAAAAAACAAAAAACTTTTAAACTGAAATCCACTGCTTTTTTTTTTTGTTTAGAAAGCTTTTGCTCCTAATTGTGAGTCTCTTAAACGAAAATAAATAAATAGCAGGAACTAAGATTGCCACCGTGCTCTGGTTATGACTACTTGCCGCCAATTTATTGAGCAGCAAATCAGAACATAAGGATGTTGCTACCTTCATTCCCTATGCAATGAAACTTTTTAAACAATTTAAAGATGATTTATAACGTGTGTGAAAAGTTCAGAGATTGTTTGCCATCGCTCCAGCACCTCTGAGGACGTCTTGTAGGTTTTGAGAAGCAGCGCAGCCCGTGTTTCCAGGAACGTCCACAGCTTAATTTCGTTCTCCCAGCTGACAGGGAATTCAGTGTTGCCCAGGGTGAAGATCTTGTTGATGGCGTGATCGCCCACCAGGTAGTCCCTGAGTTCCTCTGCAATCAGAAACGCACACCTCTCTGGTTAAGGGAGTAATCTGCCGTGCTAGTGAGCCGGCAGGTCTGATCTGCGGCGATTATGTAAGGTATGAATACACGGCTGCTAACGAGATGAAAGGGCTTGCTGAACGACTACTTTGCTCGTGCACACCGCTGAATCCTTTCACACCAGTAAAATAGAAGTCCCCAGCACAGGGGCTTCGCTTCGTTTAAAAATTAACATAAAAATTCTAAATAATGCATCAGCTCAGACTTAAGAGGTTTTGCCAGAGGACATGGCCTTGCTTTATGGGATTTATGACAAAAACTTCTACATAGATGCTTATAAATATTTCACAGACTCTGGATCAGTCCTTCCACACATCTGCCGCACTGTCTTGATCAATTAAACACCTGAGGGACTCTTGTTTAGGCTTTGCTGTCCTGTCTAGTTTAGTGTAAGGATGTGATATGGAATAAGGCATCTCACTTCCTGTTTTATGGCTCACAGATGGCCACTGGTGTACCTTAGTTCCATGCTTGAAGGTATCAGGACAAACAAAAATTCTTACCTTCAGTCATGCAGAAGACACGGAGGAAGGCCAGGAGCTGAGCGGATATGGGAGGCTCGCTGCAGTGCAGGGCAAAGATACTGGACCTGAGGAGGAGAAGGACCGGACAGGGTTCAAAGCAGGGTGTTACTCCAACTGACTTCCCCCCCACCTCTCTCAAATTAAACCCCAATTAACTCCAGCGGAACGGGCAGGTGCTAATGGAAGCCTCCTGCCTGCACAAGACCACAGAACTGCTCCCTATCGCATGACAACTGATTGATCTGAAGCGATGAGAGGCCGCTGAACTTGATGCATTTTTAAAAACATGCTCAATCATTTATAATTTACCGTTTAATTACTGGAGCATATCTATGGCCTTTTCCTGTCTGACTTACAGTGGGATGAAAAGGAGCATCTCCACTATGACCTGAATCAAAAGGCAATTTCATATGGGCCTGTGTGGATTTTGTTTTGGAGACTTAAAGGATATTGATCTGCGTGACGAAAATTCACTGATAGTATTATGCCACAATAGAAGAGGTTTTACAGCACTGTAATTCTGTTACACCTGGATGATGATTCTTGCAGCAGTATGACTCTCTACCAGGAGAGAACTGAAAGGGACATAAAAAAAGACAAGACAATGCTTTTCTAATGTTTTGGAAAAAAAGAAATTGCATGTACACTGCCCTCCAGAATTACTGCCACCCTCAGAAAAATACCATATAACAGAAGAAAAAATAAATAAATATATATATACACGTATATATACACACACATATATATATATATATATATATATATATATGACTGATGTTATCTATCACCTAATATTATTATTATTACGTTTATTTTTATTTAGTTATTATTCTTTTTTTTGTTTTTTTATTAAAGCTGTTTTCATTAAGTTATTAGCCATTTTTTGTCTTTAAGTGGCTATTCAAACTTCCTATTCACTTGGTTATAATCATATGATGGCAAAATTTAAAAGGCATGGCCAACAGAGACAGTTTTTCATGACTAATCTAAAGTAAATAATTCTTGAAGGCATTGTAGCTCAAGTAGTGCTATGAAGAGTAGCTCATTTTCAGAATTTAAAAGCAAAAAATAAAAAATAAAGAGGATGAGGTCTGAGGTTTAAATGGAATTAAAACTAGATTGAACACTACAGTAATAATGAAAAAAAGAAAAGCTAGACAAATCTCTCTACATGCATCATGTGGATTGGAGCTAAAGGACGTCATTTCTGTACAGGATACTCACGCAGGAATCCCAGCACGAGCCAGAACCTCGGCCTTCATGGCATACAAACGTTCACTCTTGCTCACACCCAGCTTAATCTTCACGCGGTCGTGTGCGTTGTCCTCAAAGAAGAAACCATTGTGGATCACAAACTCTGCATTGGATCTTGTACCATAGAATATGTAGATCTGAGGGGAGAGAAACCGGAAAACCTTTGTAATTTTGGCATAACTATGACATTACTACAGTAACACATAAATGAGTATAAGCACTGCCTTTCATTTCATGGCGGAAACAGACATGGACTCATGGTTGCACAGGTCTATGGGAATGGATGTGATATTAACCAGTGGCAATTTAGCCCTGAAAACCTCCTTCCCATACTACTGTCCTTTCAAACACTGCTCACGTCTTCCACTCAACAGTAAATCCGCAACATTTACAGATAGTGCTGTGCAGAGAGAGTGTGAAAGAGAGAGATAAAACATAGTGCTGGAGAGAAAGAGAGGGGGCGAGAAAAGCACAGTTCAATTCTGTTCTCAGCCTCTCCACATTGAGTTCCGGCCCAGTGCGAAATCAGCAGCAGGAATCAGGGATCAAACGGCTCTGTATGGAGCGACGCTCCCGAAACGGCCCCTCCTACTCCCCCCAACGCTTGTCCGAGTCCCACACGCCGGCCCCCGCATTCTCTTTCTTCTTCCACTGGCTGTCTCTGCGAATCTTATCAAATAATTCACATTCTGGAGGGGGGGTGGGGGTGTATACCTGGCCTGTCACTGTGTGCCCCGCGTATCTGCTCTCCCCATAGCTGGATCTGAATGCCTCCGCTCTGATATTACCCCCAGGCCTCCATAATGGCCGCTGGCTGATAAATGCATCACGGAAGCACAAGCATAGAGCAACAGCGCCGAGGTGAAAGTGAGCGAATGGAAATTGAAAATGTACAAGTGCATTAGGTGGACAGAGCATGGCACGAAATCCACCCGCTGACTTTGTCAATCACATGGGCAGATGTGATATTGTCTGAGATATCCTGCTGTAAAGACTAATGGTCACACTAACTGTGATCTTAAGATGGTGTTGTAAGACTCACCTGTTCAGCCTCTTTGTAATCTTTGAGAGCCACACATTCACATCGGTCATCCTCTAGATTGTAGCCAGTTGTAATCTAGAACAGAACAGAAAAGGTTTTGTTAATATTTGAATCACTTAATATACTCCTGAGGTACATTTTATTGATTCAGGGAAAAAGGGAAAACAAACATTTCTCAGATTTTACAGACATTAAGCAACTGTTTTCAACATTGGTGATAATAATAAATGTTACCCCAAACATTTGAGTGGTAGTGTACTTTTTTTTTTTTTTTACACCAACAAATTTAAAATAAGCTTCAATAATTAAGCAGTACAATAGCACAAAAGTTCAAGGCTTACTGTAGGCTTTTTCATTAATTGTCCCCATTATTTTATATGAAATAAAATAATAAACTAATAGAGCCTTTAAAAATCTATCCAGTGAAAACATCAAATATCAATATCAAAAAACAATTATGACAAAAAAATTTAAATCCAATTTTCTCAGTTCCAGTGTTGGCCTTGTTAATTTTTCTGTTGGCAATTATTATTGAGTGTTGTCACAAAACCCAATAGTGTTTAAACTTACAAATGAGATGAGAAGTGTTCCCTGAACGTAATATGAGTGATTGAAACATTTTGGACCCCGTTTACACTTTAGCACTATCCATTTGTCATCAGATCTCATGTTAATATCAGGCGTAAATAGTCAGCATTTAACATGTATAAAAGCTTTAAAATGTTAAATATAAACATTTAGGAACCACAAATCCAACAAATAAATGCCACTTATTAATAGTTATAGAGGCAGCCTATTAAAATAACACACCTTAACAAATACAATCCTTCACTATTAAAATCTTCACAAATCAACTAAATCAAATAAACTGAGTAAATTGTCCACAAAACACTGCTACAAAACATACAAAATGTTTTTATTAAATCTTAACCAGGGGATTACGGGAAAACCATTTCATTACACATTTTAATGACCATGATTTTCAATGCACATGATAATTTGAAACAAAACTTCGTTTTAGGATATAAGTGCATTACAGAATCATATGAACAGAGGCGATATATTGCTCTCTGGCAAGAGCTACAGAGCGCAATCAAAGACACATTATCCAAATAAATATAAAAGATCCCTTGGGATGAAGCCATAATCTACCGAAAAATCACATTAGGCGTTCCCGCATTCCTTAAAAGAATTTTTTTTTTCCTGTACTTGACTGCAATACAAGTGAAAACACTGTAAACATCCATGTCATGGAGGAATTTATATAAAATGGTTAAACTGAATTGGTTGCAAAAGCTTCTTGCTACCCATAAATGATTTTTGATGGGGAGTTCTGTATTCATTTTGAAAGCAGCACTGAAGACTCACCAGGCCGTTGGTGTGGTTGCACATGTCCCAGAGAGGGATGAGGGCCAGTGTGACCCGACTTCCGTCTGTTGTAGGAATCTGGTTCTGACGGGTCATCACAGAAGACACTGCCCACCTGACAAACAAATGGCATTGCTTCATTACAGATTAAAAACTGGTTCAATACTTGTTACAGACACAAAACACGTCCAAAATAATGGGTCATTTCTGGACCATTTCAAAGTATTGTCTGCTAACACTAAAGGGGAACAGAGTGGAAAACAGGATTTCTCTTGCTCTTTTGAAATCAAAGAGTTTAATATAGATCCAACACAAAATTCCCTTCCCAGTCCACCCAGAACATGTATGGACACTAACTGCAAAAACAGTTCACTCGAATCTTCATGGTAAAAATTTATTAAAAGAAACGTCATGAAGTCCACCGAAGACAACATTAGCAGTGACAAGACGCTATTCTATTCTCTTCACACATTACCCAACGGGAGCACAGACTTGCATCATATTCAACAATCTGAAGATGAAAGGGGACCAATGATAAATTATTCCTTCACAGATAATTTGGTGCTAATGAAAGAACAATGAGAACAAACACCTCATTTTTAAAGGCCATCGCGTAGCCCTACAACCAACCTACATCTCATCTTCCTGCTCTTTTCTTTTTTTGAACCTCAGCAGGGAAGAGAAGTTCCACTTTTTTTAACATGGTAGGACATTTCAACCAACCTGTAGTCATCAAAGGTAAAAGCATCCTTCAAGGGCAGTTTGCTGGCGTTCGGATGAGTCTGGGAATTGAAAATGAAGAACACAGAGAGTGGAGTGAAGGAAAAAGGAGAAAAAAAGAGAGTAAAGGACAAGAGAGAAGGAGATATGGAGGTAGAGGGGGAAAGGAGGAAAGAGAGAGCAAGGAAAAAAAAAAAAGAAAAAAAAAACACAAATCAGTCAGTGGAATTTCATTATGTGGCTGCCTAACAGATCCTAACAAGAGTGTAGCCAGGCAGAGAGCGTCCAGTGGTGCTATGCAAGGATCATGGTGGCATTAGCCCCCCATACATCTTGAGTGATTTGAGACTTTAGTCTTTGCAACTTTACAGATCTTCTTTATGCACCAAGAGCTTGTAACACTCCAAAGAGAAAGGAAAAATTGAAATCGCATCATATGACCCCTTTAATAAAAACATCTCTTCGACATTAGGGTTTTCAACTGCAAGATGTTTTTTTAAAGAGTTCTGCTCATCAACATTGCTAAGCCCTAAACAGTTAAACAAAAAGTAAAATCAACATCCAGTAAACGTTTGAAAATATAATTAATTTTTTTCAGATGTTTTGACACAAATGACAAACATCTGACCAAAAGATAAAAAAACATTTTTTTTTTTTAATAAAACAAAATACTTTCTAAACAAAATGAAATATTTTATTAGTTTACCTGCATGTCCATTAACCAAACCGGGAACATGTGAATATTGTGTGAAATTAATGAAATATGAAGTACTAAAATTTTAGGTTGAAAAGGTTCAGCAGACAAAAAAATAAATAAATAAAATAAAATAATTGGGAATGCCTTCTGCAACCGATCAAGGCTCATTAAACTTAAATAGTACAAAAAATTCAAGTGAATAGCGATAAAAATTATAAAGTTCGTCATTATTGCACGACATCAGAAGACTTCTTTTATGGTGCTTATAAATTCATGCTATAAGCTTTTGTTGTATGGAAAAGAGCAGCATTAACACTCAGCAAAACATTTCCGTTTGAGTTCCATGGAAGAAAGTCATACAGGTTTGTATGGGTTTGTTGGAATGACAACAAGGTGAGTTAATTGGCTTTTTTTTTGTTTTTTTTGTTAAAGGATCCTTTCAAATACAACGTAAACATTTCCAGGAAATGTGATCCTTCTCAGATGTTGTACGTGTGCTTACTGGAAAGGGGCGCAAACTCCTTCTGTCAACCAAGTTGCACCATTAGGCTCGCAAACTGAGGAATAGAAGCATACAAGCGCTCAGAAGTAGTGGCTAACTTTTACCTTCCACGTCTCTCCCCATTAATCAATTTCCCTAACACTAATTGAGCCCTGTATTCCCCCTCGCTGCTCTAGAACCCACACACACTTAGTGAAGACAGTGATACCGTGTGGCCACATCATATCTTTGCCAGTGACTCAGTGTATCAGCAGAGTACAGTCCAGTTTTGACATTGCTCTAGCCCTACAGCAGAGCATAAGAACTTGTATTTCAACTGCCCCCACTGTGTGCAACCAGGCAAAGGTCTAACACGCTCAGGTGGATGAAGGTCTACAGGTCAGCTGTGAATTCGCAAAGCATGATATAATAACAGAGCAAAGCCTGACCACTTCCTTTCAGTTTAACCCCAATTCTGGGAACAGGCTGACTTGGTAGCAGCGTTCACGTAGCGTGATGGACAACATTAAAAGATAAGTGCTGGGTAAAGCCAACGAGTAAGAATTCAGTGTCTTGGGTTTGAGCCTCACTGCAGATGAAGGGAAATGGTTCATGTAAGGATGGGAGGGGGGTAAAAAAAGCATAATACAGGTTTTGATGGAAGTAATAGGGCAAATCTCCAGAGACTCAAGTAGTTCTCCAGACTTCCTGCAGGAAGATGTGCTGAAGCCAGCTAAACAAAGATGAAAAAAAAAGCATCTTTGAGCATCAGTAACCATTATAGGCCAACTGAAAAGGGTTAAAGTATCGTTAATGATACTTTCAGCCCTCTGAGAGCTGAATACTTGAGTGCCCAAGTACCTTAATAGATTCAATTAAGGCAATAATTAGTTGAACAGAGTGATAAACCTCAGGGGGAAGGGCGAACCTGGCTGCAGAAAGGCCATGAAGAAGTCTGCCTGGATCCCTCAGAGCGCTGAGGGTTAGGATATTTTAATCCTAAAAATATAGGATGTGCGCACATACAGAGGTAGTTTGAGATGAAACAGAGGTAGTTTTAGACGGCACGTTTGATGAGGTGTAGTTTTTGGAGATGAAGGGCAGCTGCACCGCTGCAGGTTCGGCTTGTGATGCATTAGCATCACCAGAGAGAGGTAATTCATCATGTGCCACAATGGAACCGTGGCTCAGAGAGAGACGAGGGGGAACGGCCCTGTAAATCAATTAGAAAACAAAAGCTCCCACCACGAGCGCCTGCTCTCCTTAACGAGGACGGCGGGAAACGCGGCTAATTGGCCGGTGGCCTCCAGGAGGTCTTTCTGGAGCCGAGATCCCCAAGCACCGCATCCGCCGCACTGGCCGCCATTAGAGAGCTCGTCATCCGTGCACATGCTGAGGTTCAAACGGGATTGATTTTACTCCTTACTTTCATTATGTCGACTATTCAACATTCGAATTTGTGCACTTAATTTAATTGCTAAAAATGATGAAACGAACGCATGCCTACGGCGTCATTCAACGTTGCAAACTCTCTGTCATTTTCTGAGCTGCATCAGGAAGGTCAGACAGATATCTTCCCAGGTGCAGAGAGAGGGGGTGGGATGAGAGCATACCACTGGGACCCTGTTCATTTCTCATCAACAGCGGCAGATGCAGCACACCAAGGTTATTTTGCATTCGCTGCATACCGGGGTCACCTTATGAGGTTCACCTCCCCCAAACACACAAGCATCCAGCCCCAGTGAGAAAGGCGCGGCTATCATTGGTCCCCCGCGGACACAGGAGGCGCTTGGATACTCCTCGGAGGGCACCCGGCGTTGACAACAGCCTATCCCCTCTTCACGCAGTCAAATATATATATAAAAAGCTCCTCAATTCCAGCAGGTGAGGGGCCTTGCTTTCTCAGTTCTTCCCGAGGAGAAGCAGAGAGGGGGGGGGGAGGCAGGGACCAGATAAAGCAGGCGGTGGGAGGAAGCAGAAGAAGGGGGGGATGCTGGGGTTGTCAGTCATGTGTGGAAGGTACAATCAGGTCAATTCAATTCAAAGCCAATGCGACAAGCTAATTTTCCAGCCCGGTCATCTGCGGCCGCCTCAGAAGGGAGGCTGACATTGACAGTAGTCATTACAGTGACACTGGCTCCCAACCTGAAGAGCCGAGAGGAGAGTAGCGGACAGGACACTCACCGAAGGGCCAGCAAGTCAACCCTACTCCTCAACTGAACCTCTCTAGAAAAAAAAAACAGAGCTTCAGATGAGCAAAAAAAAAAGTTATACAGAGTCACATTGCCCATGGCCTGAAGGATCCGGTCCTGACTGTACAGTTGCCCTGTGAAAAAAGGTGAATTTAGGGTTCTGTCTGCAAATGATTTCTAGACATTAAAACACAACTAAAGTTCACTACATTTCACTTTCACACTAGGTAAGTATGTGGATGTGTGTTTAATTGAGCAGCAAGCTTGGTATGTTTGAAAGCCCAAGACTGCAACACAAGTCATAAAGGCAAAAAGGAACCCCTGCATAAAGGAGTTCATATCAGGTCATCGTAATTTGTGTTCTTTTTTTACTAGTGTTGTTATTGTTAACTAAAACTATTAAAATAATTTTTCGGTAATTGAAATAAAGCTGAAATCAAAGAAAACAATTAGATTTAAAAAAAAATTGAAATGTTGCCTTGGCAACTCACTGAAATAGGCTGAAGTACTAGAATCACATAAAATGACTAAACTTAAACTACATTAAAATTATATATATATATATATATATACACACACACACTACCGGTCAAAAAATAATATTTCACAATATTAAATTTTTTCCTGTATTTTTGATCAAATAAATGCAGCCTTGATGAGCATAAGAAACTCCTGTAAAAAACATTAAAAATCATAGCTAAAATTTGTATTTAACCTAGAACAACAAAGTAACATTTATATAATTGTGGTCTCCATTTTCTGTGTGGGGAGAGAAACATTTGCACATTTCAACGTGACATGTCATTGTCAGAGTTAGAGGTCAAAGATTGACATTGCTACAACTATGCAAACTCACCAAGGACAGAGTTCTTGGCAGATTCCACAGTCATCAGCATTTTTCTAGGGATCCACAAGAACAGCTCCTCTGCCTGAAATGGACAGAAAGCCCACAGAACAATTTAAATGGTCACTGTCAAAAGCACACATACAAAATCCCCAACTGATGTACTGTTGCATACAAATTTAGATAAATTACAGGGCTAGTCCTTTCCTGACACATTCAAATTCCTTTATTTTAAATAATAAAAAACTGCACTTTATAATTAGCAATTAGCAAAAGCAACTGAAAACGTCAATAAGGCTAACTGTAGCAGCCATTTAAAATTATCATTGGCTCAATCAAGCCTGGAGTTAAAATATGACCTGCAGTGATCAATAACCTCTATATATTCCCTCCTAAAGCATTAACAAGGATGATGGTGAAAAACAGCTCTGATCAGTACATACACACCTGTAATTACCACTTGGTCACTGACCATCAAGTGGAAGGACCACACAAATAATTATCATCTACTGTATCTATAACCAATATATAAGATGAGTTATTCGTTTCAGCCTTCAACACTCAAGATATGATGCTCTGTAGGTGGCAGAACAAGCCAGCACATCGTACACATACAATTTTGCAATGAACTGAATCTCGATAATACACAAGTGTGTGACGTAAGAAAGACTACCAGCATGAGGTTTGGTTCATATTGCAGCTTATTTTGGCTAGGAACAGCCCCATTTAGAGACAAAGGCGCTGCAAGACCTGAACTTGTAAAAACAATAAACGAATATAAAAAAATGTATCCAACATAAAAACTCAAATAGATTCTTATCCGTCTTACCCTCAAACAGTCCTTGAACTAGGTGAGAAAGAAACCAACCTTGATATCTCTGGTGGCTTTCAGGCCATATCCTTCATCTGCAAAGTTGGAGATCTCAAAACCGTCACAAGAAGCCCCACATTCTGCGGCCCAGGCCATCAGCTCGGAGAAAAATTCCTCCCTGGTTCCCTCAAATGATACTGACATCCCTGAGGAAATAATACAATCCTATCACAAGCTGATTTAGCTATTGTATGTATATTGAACATCAGCATGAGAAGTTTCCATTATTCTACGGCACTCTACTGTATTATGTTGCTGTAACACCACACAAGTGGACCTAAACGGTGCAATCTATAACTCTTGTGTATCCTGCAGCATAATGTGCTGTCTAACATTTATTCTAATGGATATTTATGTGTTCTAATGCACATCTCTGAGACTCCCACTGAGTATTTTATTAAGTAATGTGATGGGATCTTACTCAAGTCATCACATCACTGTAACCGAAGATATTTCTGTGTTTGCCACAGTACATCAACTTACTGCATAATATGTGCATATTGTTATAGAAGTCATTCTATCAGATAAACAAATGTGTAACATGCAATCTTTTATGATAATAAGATTTTTCATACTCTCATGTTTCTCTTAAAGGAACCCCAAAAACCATTTTTTACTCACCCTCTTGTCGTTCCAAGACATTTTTATAGCAAAAAGTAAGGAACAGGTAAAAAAACGAACAGCCAAGCTATCATTTGACTTAAAGTTGAAAAATAGAGCAAGAGCCATATGGACAACATTTTTTCTATTTTTATGGTCAGTTTTAAAGCTTTACAGGATCCACCTCTATTCGTTTGATTTGTGTGGGAAAAGATCTTCAAAGACATTCTGTAAAATTTCTCATTTACCCAGAAAAAAGAAAGTAATAAGCAAGTAAATGACAGAATTCATTTCATATCTGGGTGAACTATTCCTTTAAGTTCCACACCATCTGTTTTTTTCCAACCTCTTTTTTCTTGCAACTAGGACAGTTTAATACTTTACTCCTTAAAAATGGTAAATGGCAAATCACAAGGCAAACCATGCTATGTAAAAGCTACAGAACTGCTAAATCTTATTAATTTTGAACCAACTGTGTACCTTTCTGTTTCTTACGGATCTTCTCCACCAGAGCTCGGATCTGAACATATTCCTCCCACTCTTTCCCAGGAGAGGGAGCAGCGCTGCTACACTCTGAACGGGGGAAAGAAAATAAAAACATTCCAATAAGTTTATATTTAACAATCACTTAAGCTTTGATCAACAAAACCCAACGGGTGACTGTGGGGTAAATAGCTTAGTGCTCCATATTAAAGAAATAGTTCACCAAAAAAACATTTATATTCGCTGAGAAGTTACTCAACCTCAGGCCATCCAAGATGTAGATGAGTTTATTTCTACATCAGAACAGATTTTTGGAGAAATTTAGCATTACATCACCTGCTTACCCATGAATCCTGTGTAGTGAATGGGTGCCGTCAGAATGAGAGTAAACAACTTGGCTCTGATTTAATTGTTACTTAAAATCCTTCTAGGTCACTTAGATCCCAAAATGGTAATTTTTTGTTGGTACCACGATCTCGCCTGCAACTTTCTTGCTTTTATTTATATATTTTTCTTACGTTTTTGTACAGCACTTTGGCCAACTAAGGTTGATTTTAAATGTGCTTAGTGCTTTATAAATAATGTACTGAACTGAACTGAACAGAGTCCAAACAGCTAAAAAAAACAACAACCCACAATTAATCCACATGACTCCAACCTATCAATTAATGTCTTGTGAAACAAAAAGCTGTGTGTTTCACTGGATAAAGCAATATTATGGATAGAGGACTCGTATTTTAGCCAGAAGCAACGATTTGAAGTTAAAAACATCTTGATGGATTTATTTCTTAGAAACACACAGCTTTTCGCTTTGAAGATAATTAATGGACTGGAGTCGTGTGGATTACTTGTGGATTATTGTAATGTTTTTATCAACTGTTTGGACTTTGATTCTGACGGCACCCATTCACTGCAGAGGATCCTTTGGTGAGCAAGTGATGAAATGCTAAATTTCTCCACATTTGCTCCTATGCAAAAAACAACTCGTCTAAATCTTGGATGGCCTGAGGCTGAGAATATTTTCAGCAAATTTTCATTTCTGGGTGAAATATTCCTTTAAGTACAGTTCCTGGGGTAACCAAATGCTGGCTGATTTGTGTCTTCTACTAGCTGTTTTTGTGAAAATTTGTGGTATTCACTGGCTTGGTAAAAGTGCAGCCTGCAAACTGTCTTTAATCTAAACAAATTCATGTCCTCCTCAAAATGAGGAATTCTGAAGACCTGTTTGACATTGTAGTTAAAAATTTGGACTGATAACCAAATGATTCCATGAAATACCACCATACCCTTGAGCACTTAACCTCAGACGCCACCATTTGGATAAAAGCTTCAGATGATTAAATACTAAATAGATTTATTTTAACATAAAGAAACCATTCTAACTATAGAGGCTCACTTTTCAGTATCCAGCTGCATCTTTTTTGCAATAACAAATATTATAACAATCATGTAATGCGATTATGGCATAATCACAAAAGTCTTTTGTGTACCAGTGATGCACACATGCAGTGTTGCTCCTCATGAGAGTAATTCATTGCAACAGTATATCAAGAACAGGAATGCAGCCATAAAGAGTACTTTATACTCACTCTGTAGCAGTTCAGAGATTAAATTCATCATCTCTTTCGGAGTAACCGCAGCTGTGGCCCCGGTCCCCGATTTCTGGGTCTTCACTCGGCTCTTTTTACCCATCTTTCTGGTCTGGGAGAGAGGATGGCTGTAATAATGCAACAGAATAAATTTAAAAAATAAATAACTATGATTACTTTTAAATACAGTAAATATTAAAGTAAAAATAAAGCTAATATATGACCAGGTTTCGTATCTCCTTCATGCAGCCTAGAAGCCTGTACAATAAATGCGCCAATAGTCTGATTCTACACCTCTTATAAATATTTAGGTCCAATGGACTAGGTACAGTATATTCATAACTAATTGGTAGAAACATGTGAATGTTTCACATCCAAATAATTTCTGAGCCTAGAATTACTGCCAAGAAAGGTTAAAGGTCTCTGTGAGGGATTATACGGATGGCTACAGTGAGCCAAAGGGCACTAAATCAGGTACTTCATTGTAAACACTGAACATGTGGCTTACATGAAACTCATCAAATACAACAAACTTGTGTCAAATACATAAAACTTCCATGTAGTTAAACTGAATAAATGACTCCTATGGCAGCTGTTCCCATATTTAAAAAACGGTCTGGTTGCTTTACCTTTACAAATTTGGGCAATGCACAAAAAGACCACTCAAAGAACATTTTTATAGCAATTCCTTATAATTCTATTTCTATATAAATGTTATATAATTCTATAATAAGAATTCTTATAATAAGCTTCATTGCTTTACTTTTTTTGTTATTGTGATAGCAATCACTCATGCAGAAATCAAAAATATAGAAGAAACATGATATGGACCGTTTTATTAATTTAAAATAGAGTTTCTCAGAGATGAATACATAAGCCGCCAACGTTTCAGCCGTGGATATGTCCATCAAATACCCAAAGCCAACTGTTTACTAAATAATGACAAGCCCAATTGTATTACTGAACTGCAAATTGGATTTAAACACTTAAAAGTCAGCTACTTAAGATTGAAACCACAAAGGGAACCAGCAGCAGCACTGTAACTATACTGGCTGACAGCATTAGACAGCAAATACATGCAACAAACAACAAACTCAACATATCAAAATTCAAAATACAAGATCAGTATATTAGGTAATGATCTTAGCAGATTGATGCCTTAAAATAACTCAGCCTGGCCCAATGCATCCATTCAAACCCACCAGAAGATGATCACCTGCTTCACATTACACACTATTGCACTGCATGTCAGTCTTCATTTCAAACACTGGGTGGTCCAGTGATCATGAATTATACAAATGCATGAATGAAAACCTCAAGAAACATATAATCCATTCATTCATTCATATTTACATCCATTCATCTAACTATCTGTCTGTCCATGGCCCAAGTGTCTCAAAACCTGGTTAGTTGCCTACACTGACATCATTTTAGGGCATCATAGGCACGTTTGAAACGTTCAGACAGTATTTAAAACGTTCAACAACATGTTGGGGAGCGTACTGAACGCTTTAAGCACGCCTACGACGCCCAGATATGGTGCCTAAGTAGGCTGCTCACAAGATTTTGAGACACATTCAATGTGTTAATAACCAGCATGCTTGTATTTCGCAATTTGCTGAATTTGCCACCATTTACAGCGTACATTTACGACGCATTTGCAGGCATGTGGCTTATTATATTTTGCTTAACTATCGTAAACACCTCGTGCACATTTGCAAACATTATTTAATCAGACTGAACACCAAAACTACCTTCCAATTGACTGCAATGATCCTCCTGTCAACCTGGAATTCAATCCTCTTCTACACGGTCTGCTGATAAAACCTAACCTTTCTTCAGAGGAAAAGCCACGCCCTGATAAGATTTTCAAAAAGCGGATTGGCCCATTGACGCGTTTGTCCCGCCCTAAACTTGTACAGAAGCGTATTTTAATTGGCTAATGTTCCTTACGCAACTGCGTACGCGTGTGATAATTGGTTAAAGAGTAATTATTTTTCACATCTCTAAACTGTACGCCTCTATTGGTTCGCGTTAAGGCGGTACCCGTTTGCAGTGGCTTTACTGGTCGTGAGAGGAGTCGATCTGCGCGGTCAGCTTTACAAGGTTGGTTTGACTACACTAACAGAAAAAGCTTCTGTGTCTTGTGATTGGAAGTTTACTTTGGGTTCGTAAAGTGACCGTAAAAGGATAAAGTTTGCGCAACATGATTTGTGGAGGAAACCGTCAATCAAAGCCACAACATATAAAACGTAACACATAGCTATAACATATTGTTGTAAATGTAACATCGCTTATATAAATTTCAAGTGAAATCATAATGATTTATAATGTGTTTCCAATAGCGTTTAAATAAATTACATTTTAATAATAGCTAATAATTTAATAAATCAATAAATCGTATTATTTATTTTATACCACTTTATAATATATAATTTATTCTCTTTTTTACTTCCTACATTGATATTTTTATAATATATTCACAAATTGTGAGCATGTAGGATTACACATTTTACGTAAATAACATGGTTGCAAAATTGGCAACCTTTATATTATATTATATTATAGAATTAATAAAGAATAAACAGCTCATGTAATAAGGAGTTTGACCTTCTGAGGTTGGCAAATAACATATTCTGAAGGCTAAACACCTCATTTCTCCGATCATTTGCTGGAAACGACCACATTTCAGTCATTCAACGTTACCATTACTGCAACTCCAGCAAATCTCCAGTAGATGGCAGACTCTGCCTTTTTTCTGCTGTTCATTTCATACAATTCAAAAAGGAGATTAGACATTATACAAAGAGAAGGATTCGGTTTTATTTTAAATCTACAAGAGGGCTATTTGCAATTTATTTTGAATTTGTATTAGCTAAAATACAGGTCCATTCTCAGCTACATACAGCTTATTAAAAATATATAAATGCATGCTAGTTACAGGTATTCTACAGTAATAGTAGTTATTTACATTGCGCTGAATTGTATGTCCTAGAATACAACTTCATGTGTGTTTTACATACAGATGAGCTACACAGAACATTGAATTTCAGGAAAAATTCAAAAATCAAATCCTCACTCACAAAAGAAGCAGTGCATTTGAAAAGAAAATAGGAAAATATCAGCATTTCAGATTCTTTTGTGCTTTAAACTTAAAAACAAAAAAAGTCAGTAGTTGTGTATTCTAGATCCGTTTATAAAGGACACTTTTAAATGGATTTCAAAAATAGTTTTAATGTATGCATGTACTTCTTCAACACCAATGATTTAGGTATTGTGTTCACATGAAACATCACAGCATAGCAGAGACAATATTTACTGTGTTGTTAACAGCACACACTGTTTTTACTGACCCAAATTCATCAAGTATCCTTTTCATAAAAATATGCAACTATTTTATTTACTTATTCAAATGTTTGCTGCTCATTTTGTTCTCATAAACATCAGACAAACAAAAAGTAACACACTGCCAAAAGCCACCTGCTGCATCCAGTGAGAAAAAAAACATCCAATACGAATGTGATTTCAGTCTAGCACTGTAAAAGTGCACTCATAAATATACAAATTCAATGAAATATCCACAACTTTAATACAAAAAATAAGTAGATCGGCAGAGGGATTTCAGCAATTCTCAAAATAGCTTCGATTTAAATGAACAATAAAAAATTATGGCTTATCGGGTCACTGGTTTTAAAAAAAGAGCTTTGTGTGAGTGCAGCAAGCATCTTTTGAGGCAGTTCTTGTGTACACAGATAATGGATCTGAATTATAACACAAAACTCAAAACCCCTCATTTACTGCGTTCATTTACTATCATTCATAAGACATCGCTATATATCATGTACAGTACACGCATAAAAGATGTTACCTGATAGTCTCATGAACTAGGCCTATGGAGCAGAATTAGAAGCTTTAGACAAAATTCAGCAAAAGAAGCTTATTGTTAATAATGGAAACCTTACAACTTGTCCAGTTTTTATCAGTGCATACTGTATGGTCCGATTCAATTCAGTATACGCTGAAATGTTAAGCTTGGTCAAAGGAAAGGAATAATGGAAAGTGTGACTGGCTGAGGTACTTTACATGCTCCAATCGCCGATTACACAATGCTAAAGTTTCATCATATACGAAATGCTTTTTGAAACAAGTGTACTGATGAAACCTCACACTGCTAACTGGAATCAGGGTGAACAAAAAACAAGCATCACTTCAATACTTGCATTCATCCAGTACAGAGTTTCTCTATTGCACCGATTCAGTATTTAGAACCTGAAATTGAGCTCCAGTTCTTTTCCTATAGGACTCAATCTGTAGACCTAAAACGATTAAAAGATTAAAAGGAATAGTTTTCTCTAAATCTGTTCCGATGAAGAAACAAATTCATCTACATCTTGAATGGCTTGAGGGTGAGTACATTTTCAACAAATTTTCATTTTTGGGTGAACTATTCCTTTAACAGTACTTTCAATTGTATTATGACCCCACAAAGCCATAAGGTCTCGTATGCAATCAAAAGCACTGCATTGGGACACATTACAAGATACTGATATTGAATTTTGACTCCATCTGCACAAATGAAGGCATAAAAAAGCAGCTTCTTTAATCACGATTGTCAATTTGGAACTTAAAGTAATATGCTTTGAGTTGAGCTGGCATTTATAAGTACTGTTTGAAAAAAACAACACTTTAATTAAATGCTTAAACTCATGAGCTGGCCTGCATATATCCTCTGAATATTTTCAGGTTATTTTACAGTATGTATTTCTGGGAACCTGAGCAAATGTGTTATTTGCATTCATGAAAAAAAAAAAGATTTTTTTTTTAATTAAAAAGTTTACTGTTATGTTTTGTTTTTCAGCTATGTTAATGGTCCAAAATGAACACTGATGAATAAATATAACTTGTTAATAGTCAATGGCTGGTAACTTTATAAGTAACATGATTCTTGGTTTAAGTTTAATTGCAATGATAATAATCTCTGACATTCTGATGTGATGGGTGTGGCCCAAGTCAAAAATATATATACAACCATTTGAAAGTTTGGGGTCAGTAAGATTTGTAAAAAAAAAAAAAATATTTAATGAATACTTTTATTCAGCAAGGATGCATTAATTGTAGCAAAAAATGACATTTAAGATTTCTATTTTAAATAAATAATGTTCTTGTGAACTTTCTTTTTGTTGAAGAATCCTGAAAAAAAATATCACAGTTTCCACAAAATTATTAAGCAGCACAACTGTTTTCAACATTGCTAATAATAAGAAACGTTTATTGAGCATCATATCAGCATATTAGAATGATTTCTGAAGGACCCTGTGACACTGAAGACTGGAGTAATGATTCAGAAAATTCAGCTTTACCATCACAGGAATAAATTAGTTTAAATTGTAATAATATTTCACAATATTACTGTTTTTACTGTATTTTTGATCAAATAAATGCAGCCTTGCTGATCATAAGAGACTTCTTTCAAAAACATTAAAAAATCTTACAACCCAAACTTTTGAACGGTAGTGTAAAAGGTAAAAAAAAAAAATAAATCCTTGAATAATTGAATAAGATGGAGTGGTCTTAGCCAAAATCAAAAAGCTTTTAGGAGTGGAAAGGATCTTGTAGGAGTATCTCTGTGGGGTATTTATCTGCGTAAGAGCTGTGTGCTTTCATTCCCTATCTGGAATGAGAAATGAATCCATTAAGTTGCCTTGTATGAATACTTGGATGGTGTGCACATAAATAGAGCTATGATTTAGCTTGTGCTAACTGCGAGTCCATTATATATTAAACTACCACCTGGCGTTGTAGGTAATAGGTTTGAAATGTCTCAACTGAATGCCATGGGCTGAAAGAAGCTGGCAGTAGAAGCAAAGTTCTTTGTGTCGTTTTACAAAGTTGCCCAGTTCTGAGTCTGTCTGTTCCTCACGTCATATTCACAGATTTGTTTGTTTGTTCAAGGCCCTGCTGGTCATTGACATAGGAGCTACAAAGGGCCTTTGAACTGGTTCCCAGAGAGATGTTGACGGATGGAGGGTTTGGATCCTGCCGCATCACCGAGCTTACGCCACACAACCTGAACACACAAAGCAAACACACAGTTGGGTGAATCTTATGGCTATATGAAATCTTGTAAAATGAAAAATGTCTTCAAACTATTTCTTCAATGTTACCATACAGTATGTTCTCGGATGAAGATCTGGTCGTATTATAATGTGTGATGGTGTGGATTTTTGATATTGTGTGTGATAGTAATGATGTGATTGTTCGGGTTCTGGAGATAAATCTTCATTACAGAACACATTAGCTAGCACTTAATTAACTAATAATATAAAAAATATTTAAATAAACAAATATATATACAGTATATATATATATATATATATATATATATATATATTCTATTTATTTAGTAATTACTGTTTTTTTTTTATTCTAACATTTTTATTCTACATTTTTTTCTAAATGTAAAATTCTTGAATACTGACCTGTTTAGTAATGACACATAGTAAACCAGCTAAAATCATTATGAAAAACTTCAATTAAATACATGTTTAAATTAAATTAACATTTTAAAAAATATAATTAAAAAAATATTTAAATGACAAAAAGACTTCTAAGGGAAAAGTGCAAAGTATAATTTTCCTGATTTTGAAGTTGAGACAAACTCAAAAAAGAACAATTCTGGCAGATGTCTTCTTTTGAGTATTTAATTATTTGTTTGTTTGTTTGTTTTTCTTCAAAATTTAAAATTCTTGAATAATGGCCTGTTAAGTAATGACACATCATAAACCAACTCAAATTATATTAAAAAAATTTAATGTATAAATTAAATAAAAATTGTCAAAAAAAATTTTTTCTCAGTTTACCAAATTCTGAGGATACCTTTGGGACTTTTACTCGAAGATGCAGCTGAGATCTAATACCATAATTGTTTGTATATAAAGTTAAACATTTTGAAATATAAGAAGGTAATTTAAGAAGGTAATTTACCAAGAAGTGCCTTAGCAATAAACATATACATGTGCAAATTCCTCATATGTTGTAAAGATGACCATTCTACAGATTCATAAACATTGATATAAGTTGTCAATGTGGACGTATAGTTTTTTTGTCCAACCATATGCCTAAATATTTATAATAGCTGACTCTTTCGATTTGAGTGCCATCTAAAGTTGAAATTGCTATATCTGTGAATATAGCAATATTCACAGATATAGCAGCAGCTATTTATAGAAGATGCTGCAGAATAAATAACTGTATCATTGGCATACAGATGTATATTAGCGAAGTCCACACCAAAGCCTACATAAACACCAATTTAAATATTAATACAAAAAAAGACTGATTTTTATCCTGATTTGAACACTTTTTATGTATTTACTAGAGGGGAAGTTGAGACAAGCCCAAAAAAGAAAAATTCTAGGTGAATTTTTTATAATTTGTACATACATAGGGAAAAGTCACAAAAGGCACAAATATATATTAATATATTCTTTAATAATCTATTATTATATTATAAAGTGAAGAATTCCGGAGTTAAGCAATAACTCATCATGCAGCATGAGCTTCTAAAAGGGAAGATGGTTGGTTGGTTTGGTGAGTGGGTGGGTCTAGGGACTAATTACAATCAGAAAAGAAAGAAGCCCTTGTGCTATTTGAGATTTTGCTTTTGACAAGCTGAGGTTCTCCGTGCAGGAACAGAGCACAGGTCCCAGATTCCAGGGGCCCTTCAGGGAGCAGATAAACCTGCATTGTTTCACTGATCAAGTTATTTTAATTGCACAGACAACTGTGCGGTAAACACACCGAGGACTTTTGCCAAGGCCTCTCATTAACGTGGTCTGAAAGTGGGTCTCTGTTGTGCAACATTGAAACAGTGTCCTCAATCAAAGCCGATGTAATTATACAAAGTGACAGGACAACAAACACATGGGAAAGGGAGCACAAACTTACAGCCCCTTTCTGTTGAACAGGGTTTTATTAATGGACAAGAGGGAAGTAAGCTGGGGTTCAGGGTAGGAGGAGGCAGATAGGAGGTGTTTCTAGGTAGACTCACATTACACATCTCTCTGACAATGGCTTTCTCTTTCTCACTGAGATCCTCCTCGTAGTCCTCTGGGAGCTTCCTGTCTAGGTTCTCGTGGACTTCTAATACCTACAAAGCAAAGGAACAGAGGGTTAAACGATTAATGGTGCTTGCTAAATCAAGCTTCACTATTACTATGGGTCATACTTATACCTATATTCCTATATATATATATATATATATACATATATATACTGTAAGCACTGTGGCAGTGAGATTTTTTAGTTTTCTCTGGTTCCAAAATTTTATGTCGTCTTTCAAACAACAGAGATCCAACAAATCATAGAAAATCCTCTAGGTGGCAGTATTACTACAGTAAGTAACAGTTACACTCATAAAAACAAGGATGGGTCCTAAAACCTATGCTTTGGGAATGAAGAGAGAAACAAGTTTCTACCATGAAACTTGATCTATTTCCTGTAAAATTAGGCTCGACTTTAAACATTTTGATGATTTTTCCCACTTTCTACTGATAGACATTGAGGGATAACAAAGAGAGTACAAGAAACTATTAAAAAAGGTAACCGAATTGAGAAATGGCGCAAGCCTAATAATATAGCATAATATAATTCAGCATGATATTTTATAGCATCCGTTAGTTCTGAAATTCAAATACAACTTGTAAGTATGGCTTAATTTTGCAATATGTGCATCAGAATCTCACTTTCATGGCATGTACAACAGCTTCTGGTTTCTGTGCTGCTGGCAGGTATCCGGTGACGGGGGGCAGCAGATCACCTCCTGGCATGGTAGACCCCTGTAGACAGATGAACACACATTCGTCACAATCAAAAATCACTCATACTGCTCTCTCGGATTACCAGAGGAGATCCAAGCACTGGAAAAGCCCATGGCTGTTTCTCTGAGTCAACTCAGGCTTGAAATGGGTTAAAGCATCTCATTATAACTCATCTCTGCTTGGACCCCCTTCATGGGTACGCATCAACAAAGAGCTCTTTCAGTGCACAGGGTCTGGTGAGCCCCTGTTTAGACACAGCCCTTTGAGTCCCATTCTAGCGTTAAATCCACAACAATTGAGCTGGCATTTCAGCACCGGGGTCGGGAGAGGACCCCTGGATGGAAACTGCGACTCGCTTTTGGCCTGGGAGAACAGGACTGTGATGTTCACTTGCAGTTGCCAGCAGGTTTAAGGGCTAGAGCCGTGGGGACTTTACCCTGGACTGACCCGAGTACATCCTGAACCAATGGTTGCTGTCAGGCATCGCCCTGGCAGCCTGATTAGAGAAGCCCAGGAGTCCCACAATTCATTCTGCATGGATTTATTTGCCAGTGCTCGAATGATCTGGATTTTTTAATAGCAAATTCCAATATCTATTCAGGGCCTTACAATTCAACTATCTCATATGATAAAGTTGCATAAACTATATTGTAATTGAATTACATGAGATTAAATGTAAGCGATTTAATTCCCATAAAATTCAATTGTATAAATTAGAAGGCAAATTAATAGAAATATATTCATAAATACTTCATACCACTTTAATTAGATTTTATGAATACATGACTGATTGATATATAAAAATAATTAATATAAAAAAAGAAATAATAATTAAAACATCTTAAATAATTTTAATAAAGAAAATTATTCTATGCAGTTACACAATTTTATACTGAAATGTCACAATAATATATTTAAAAATAAAACTGTTAATATAGATATACTGTATATTATTAAATAATACACACATATGATTCTATTGCATATTAAAGGGGTCATATGATGCGATTTCAAGTTTTCCTTTCTCTTTGGAGTGTTACAAGCTGATTGTGCAATAGAGAACCTACAATAATGTACAGTATTTGAAAAATAATGAGTTTTTTGAACATTAAAGCATGTCAACATATTCTGTTACACCAAATACACAAAATAATGATCTTTAAAAAAGCATCATATGACCCCTTTAAATAAATTCACAGTTAATACAAATCTTGTTATTTTGCTTGTGTAGACTGTAGATTGACGTGAAAATAAACAGTAATTTGAAACCATTTTAGCATAAGGCACTAACATAACAAAATGTAAAAAATGAACGGGTCTGAAAATGTTTTCTTTATTAAAAATGTATTCTATGCAACTCTCACAATATATTCTAACAAGTAGGCACAGTTACATTCTGTTTACATTCTAATATGCTGAAATAGGCACAGAATGCTATTAGATACTCTGAAGAGACTTACTAATGCCTCTATAAATGCCCACTGCTAATCTATCATCTGTTTAATCCGCAAAATGCATTGATCATAAACACCACTTGGAAGTCACAGTCAGATAACAGGCTATAGCCTGGATTAAACAAATCCAACGATTAGACCACATGAATACAGCTGTGCTTTGCTCTGATGTGTGCAGCACATGTCATTAAAGAAGACAGGAAAACGTGGATGTTAAAGGTATAAAAGTAATAGGTCCATCAGCCACTAAAAAATTAGCAAAATTGAAAAAAACAAAAAGAATTAAGTATCAGCCTTTTTTTTCTCAGTCTGTCTAAAAAGCTGTGTTTATAATCCTGGGCAGCTATAACAAGCACTTATAAAGAACAAACAACAGTATATGCAAAAGTTGGTGACATCGAAACTTCGAAAGAGTTCAAAAGTTTGTAGTCAGTAAGATTTTTGTTTTGGGAAAGAAATTAATATTTTTATTCAGCAAGGATGCATTCAATTGATAAAAAGTGACAGTAAAGACTTTCATAATGTTACAAAATATTATTTCAATAAATGCTATTTTTTTTTTACTTCCTATTCATCAAAGCATCCTGAAAAAAATGTATCAAGTACTGACCCAACACTTTTAAATGGTAATGTATATATACATTAATGTCAAAAATCATAGTATTTCCATGCTACATTTTAGTCAAGCAACTCTAAATCCGTTAAAGCACCAAACTGCTCTGATTACCTCTCCTCAGGTAACCCCTAACAACGGCAACCAATCTGCTCGCTTCTACGAACCTGATTATTGTTTCAGCAGATCGCCACTGCATTATTTAGTGCCATCTCCCCCCGTGATTAAAGTGAAAGTTCACAGCCATGCTAATGAAGCCATGAGCTCGTAGACAGGTCTGAGACGAGCTGGGATAAAATAAGCCCAGCAGCCTCTGAGGACGAGACCCACGCCACTCTCTAATTGATTTCTCCTTCCTGTGGAAGCTGTCCCTCATATTAAAGTGGAGCAGCTGTGCTGTTTTGGCCTGTCATAGCTGATGAGTGCACTAATTAGTTAAAGCACCAGGTTCGTGATGACCTTTTTTGAGGATACGAGTGGAGGGGAATGATGATGATGATGAGGATGATGAAAAAGATACCTCAGGAGAAGAGAGAGGTAGGGAGGAGAAAAGAGGGATAATAAAAGAACTTTTTAGGACAGAGCATATTCAACAGCATTCAGTTCCTGCCATACAGCATTGTGGGCTTTTTTCAGATGTTTCTCCTAAAATTACTTTTGAGAATTAAAGACAGACTTTGGTATCTTGGAAATCCTGAGAACAGCTTTTGATTAAAAAAAAAAAACAGATGCATTGGAAATATTAAAACAGGGTCGGGTACACTGTCATTTTTTGGGTTAGAAAGGATATCTAAAACAAGGAACGGATCAGCACTGATACAGTCTCCAGCAGAGATCTGAGCACAACAAACCTCCTGCAATCCACAGGAAATGACCAATAAGCACAGCATCTTTCATTTGACTTCTGTGCTACATATTAAAATACACGGTTCTCATCACACTACAAGAAAAAAAAAAACCTGTGAACCTGACTAATGAACAAAATACTCTATTGTTCAAAAGTTTGGGGTCAGTAAGATATTATTTAATGAAATTAATATTTTTATTCAGCAAGAATGCATTAAGTTGATCAAATGTGACAGTAAAGACTTTATCACTGAGCAAAAGATTTCTATTTTAAATAAATACTTTTTACATACTTTTGAGCTTTTTATTCATCAAAAAATCCTGAAAAGATGTATCAGTATCCACAAAAATATTATAGATAAGCAGCACAAACTGTTGATAGTAATAATACAAATAATATAAAATAAAATAAAATAATAAAAATGTTTCTTGCGCACCAAATCAGCACATTAGAATGATTTCTGAGCTGCTAAAAATTCAGCTTTGCCTTTACAGTGAACAGTAGTGTGTGTTCTTGTAGTTTCATATTTGCAGAACAAAACATTTTCATCATAATTATGGATGAAAGTAACTTCTGTGGTTATTCTCAAACTGTAGTCAGCAATAAATAAAACTAGACCTAAATAATTCAAATAATTTACTGAGTTATTTGAATGATAAATCAACTCATAATAATAATTAACAAGTTCTGCTAATGTTTATTTGTGATAAAGTGTTTCTGTATCTCATTTCAATAATGCAACTGTCTGTTATGCAACAGTTGTTTCATTTAGTTCATTAGCAAACAGTGTGGTTTATTTCAAGGAAAAATGAACAAAACAGTCTGGCAAAATTATTTCAAGATAGACTATTATACTAAACTATTGTATGAAGAATGTACACAACAAACTGTAAATACTTGTTCTATGTAGGTGGTCGACAATTTTTATGTTGAATTGTCCACTACCTGAAAAAGTTTAAGAACCACTGAACAAGCAGCTCCTGTTCTTTCCATAAAAAAAAAAAAAACATGAGGCACTGTCCTCAGTGGGTCTTTACTCTGTCATTCCAGCTGATGTTTTAAGCTCCTTGGCACGGGTCAATTCTCATCTGCTTCAACACAGAGCAATGCAGAATCCTTAAACCAGCTGGAATTGCAACAGCTAATTGTTGTCAAATCTCCAAATCGGCTCAACATGACAAATCTTTTTAAGCTCAACTGTGATTGAGGTTTTGGCTCTGATGCAAAATAATGGGGTCACATCAGATTTAATGGGATACGTACATTCTGTAAGGTGTCCTGAAACTGGGATAGTGAGGAGAGCTGGGACTCTGAGTGATACAGGGACAGCCCTTTCCGAAGTGTCTTAAGATCTCCCATGTTCCCCTGCTGTGGAGAGAAGCAGAAATGTGTCAAACACAGATTATCTGAGATAATTAAGATTAACAGAAAAATCAGACACAAAAATGTTCTGGTATCCTAGATAATTCAAAGTGGGAACAAAAAGGGATCAAATATACAGTATCGTACATCACCATTCCAATGTATGGGATCAGTAATTTTTTTTTTAAATGAATACTAAATAAAATTATCAAAAGTGACAGCAAAAAAATTGATAATGTTAAAAACGATTTCTATTCTATCCTACCTGTCCGACTGCTACCACTTTGTTCATTTAAATGGGGAGTCATCTCAATTATCACCAGTAAAATATGGAGTGCCACAAGGATCTGTCCTAGGTCCTCTGCTATTTTCAATATACATGTTGCCCCTTGGTAATATTATCAGAAAATGCGGGATTAGTTTCTACTGTTATGCTGATGATACTCAACTATATATATCTCAACAAGACCAGATGAAACTTCTAAATAATATAAGCTAACAGAATGTGTTAAAAATGTAAAAGATTGGATGACCAATAATTTTCTCCTATTTAAATATTGTAGAAACTTAATTTGCTGTGAAGATGCTTTGCAACGATTTGTATCGTGAAAAGCGCTATACAAATAAACTTGAATTGAATTTAATTTAATTATTTCAAATAAATGCTGTTCTTTTGAACTTTCTATTCATCAAAGGATCCTGAAAAAAAATGTATCACAGTTTCCATCAAAATTATTAAGCCGCACAACTGTTTT